ATTAAATCTAAATATATTCTTAAACTCATTAATTTTTTAAACAAAACTTGAAAAACCTGTTGCTCAGCTCGACTTATACTCAGGTAAGCAATTTGTTTGAGATCGGTTCTTTAAGTAAATAAATCAAGTTTAAACATAATTTTAAATTTGTTAAGTTTTTAAATCAAACTTAAACAATTTACTAGTCAATGCCACTTGACTCGTTTTCAAGATATAAGTAAAAATTTTGTTTTATGTCTCTACATTCTCATGCGCAATCTAGATATAATGAAAATGTACAACTAATCATTTTCATTTCTCATCAAATCTTTAAAATTTTAGTAAACAATTAAATTGATATTATAAGCCAATTATCATTCTATTAATTTTTTAATCTTTTGTTATAATTTCTTATTTAATTTGTAAACCAAACATGAGAGAATTATTTTTATCATATTTTTTTCATTAATTCACTCAATCTGAACATGCTTAATCACTTCAAAAAAAAATAATTAAACTATCACTTTATTTGGTGCAATTTATTATAGTCATTTAAAAAAAAATTGATGCAACATTTAATTATAATTTATGAAATAAAATAACTAAATAAATTGAAAAAATTAATTATTTAAAAATTGAGAAAATATTACTTTTTACTTATGATTAAACCTTTCAATTTGAGAAAGATTACACCAAACACACCCTACATTTTTAGGTTTTTTTTTTTTTTGTTTTTTTTGGAGAAATTTCACTTAATAGTTAATTTAAAAAATAATTATAAATAAATTATAAACTTTATAAATATTTTGTTTCTTCTAATTTTTATGAGTCAATAGTATTAAATATTGTTCTCTCACACATGGGTCACTTTCACATTTTTCTCTTTTTCTTTTGTTGGATTTTCTCACTTTTCCATTAAATTTCTTTACCCAGCTATAAATGCAATCTCTGTCCACGTCATTTTTGGAGATGCGGGGTCATGCTGTGTGACTCCCGGTGTTGTTCCCTGTTGTGGCCCATATGGTGTTGTTTTAAATTTTTTTTTTCAAATCCTTCATTCTCTCATGGTGTTGTTCGCTGGAGCAAGATATTTGCAATAATATAATATTTTTATTTATTAATCTATTAATGTAAGCACAAAAGAATGTTTATATATGGGTACACATAAATAAATTAATTCAAATTAAGACTTATTAATTTAAGTTATATTTTTATAGTATGATATAATTAAAATTAAGCCAGCTATGGCTCAAAGGACGCGAACCAAAACAAGAAATGAACTCCTCCAATTGGGTCAAGCCCTGAAATATAATCAAATGGGATTGATAAATTTAATATATAACCCAAAAAGATAACTCCCTTTTTTTTAAAAAAAAGAAAAAAAAAAGAGGTACTAACAGTGAGAGAACAATAACTTCTTGCCAAGAAAAAAGAGAAGAGGATTTTCATCCCACTGCCCTACTATATTCATCAAGCAAGTCCCAAAGTAAAAAAAAGCCGCCTAGTTGGCTAGCCTGACTTTCCTAAGAGTTTGGTCCTTAAGGAAGGTCATGGGTTTAACTCTTCCAAGGAAAATTGAATTAAAGGGGGCAAGAACTTAATGCTTTGCAAAGGATGAGGAGGCTAAAACATTAATTGCTACAAATAGTAGTAATCCTGTTTGATAAAACTAAAAAAGGAAGTACCTGGTATTCAGCTCTCTCAGCAAGCAAAGCAGAACTTTGCTGATTTCACGCAAGGCAAGAAGAGTCAAGCGCCTATTTGGTCTGAACAGCTTCAGTTTCATCCTGAATGCGTGATATAATTCTAGATATATGTTCTTTGGAGGGTACACTTCCACGACTTGACACTGGCAACACAGTCTTAAGAAGATCTGACAGGCGACTCAAGAAGGGCCCAAGAAAGCTGTCTGAAATATTTCAATGGCAGCAACCATTTGATCTTTTCCTTCCGAGGTTATAGTAGGTAAAACTCCTTTGACATTTGTGTCACCTGAAATTCTTTCTAGAAAATTCTCTATCATGGAGTATAGCTTTGGATACACAACAGTAAATATCTCTTTCACAAAGCTTGATGCAGTGAAAGCAAACTTCATTTGGCTTGCAAAGTGTTAGAATAAATGTATAGGGAAAAAGAGAGAAACAATTATGTATGTATTATTGATTGTTATAGTTTTGATGTATTGTATGTACATTATATAGGAGATGGAGATGTGAAGTGGAGGTGGAGTGGTGGAGTAGGTGAAGTGGAGTGTGTAGTGGAGTAGGTGAAGTGGAGGTGGAGTGGTGTAGTGGGTTAGGTTTAGTGGAGTAGGTTTAGGTGTACATTAACAGCCCCCCTCAAACTCAAGGAGGATAGGAACTAACCAATTTGAGTTTGAAGAGAGTAACAAAACAGGAAAGTAAACTGATAAATAAAATAAAACAGGATAGGAGACACGGTATGGTCGTGTCAAACCGATGTAGCAGACAGTTTATGGGGTCATGTCGGACCGTTGAAGCAGACAGTTTACAGGGTCATGTCGGACCGTTGTAGCAGACACTGTGTGGTTGTGTCAGACCGATGTAGAAGACAGTTTATGGGGTCATGTCGGACCGATATAGAAGACAGTTTACGGGGTCATGTCGGACCGTTGTAGCAGACACTGTGTGGTCGTGTCAGACCGATGTAGAACACATTTTACGGGGTCATGTCGGACCGTTGTAGAAGCTAACCGGAATCAATGTCGGGACAGTTTATGAGGTCATGTCGGACCGTTGTAAAAGCTGACCGGAATCAATGTCGGGACAGTTTATGAGGTCATGTCGGACCGTTGGAGAAGCTTGTGGTGGTGCACCAAGGGGGCGACTTAGGGAGTACGCCATAAGCGACTTGTAGAAGACAATTTACGGGGTCATGTCGGACCGTTGTAGCAGACGACATTTGTCGATGAAAGTCAGTAGGAAGAGATGAACGGGCTGCGGGTCAATTTTAACACTCTTATCAATGTTATATTAAACATGTCAATGTGAATATTCACATTGTCAACGGGCCGGGCGGGCCGAGCCCCCCGGGCAGGCGGGCGGGCTTTTGAACGTCTATGGGCCGCGGGCCAATTTTTAACTCCTTATCAATGTGAATGTTAACATGTCCAATGTGAATATTCACATTGTCAACGGGTCGGACTGGGCCCGCCCCGGGCCGCCAATGGGCCGCGGGCGGGTTTCGCGCCGCCACGGGACGGGGGCCAATTTTACACTCCTATTAATGTGAATGTTAACATGTCAATGTGAATATTCACATTGTCAACGGGCTAGGCCGGGCTGAGTCGGGCCCGCCCTGGGCTGCTGTCTAATTTTATACTCTTATCAATGTGAATGTTAACATGTCAATGTGAACATTCACATTGTCAACAGGCCGGGCCGGGCCCGCCCACGGGCCGTGGTGGGTTTCGGCAGCTACGAGGCGCGGACTAATTTTACACTCCTATCAATGTGAATGTTAACAATGTCAATGTGAATATTCACATTGTCAACGGCCGGGCCGGGCCCCGCCCCGGGCTGCGGGCGGGATTTTGGCCGCCCATGGGCCGCGGCCCAATTTTATACTCTTATCAATGTGAATGTTAACATGTCAATGTGAATATTCACATTGTCAACGGGCCAGACCGGGCCCGCCCCGGGCTGCCCATGGACCGCGGCGGGTTTCGCGCTGCCACGGGACGGGGGCCAATTTTACACTCCTATTAATGTGAATTTTAACATGTCAATGTGAATATTCACATTGTCAACGGGCCGGGCCCGCCTTGGCTTCGTGGCGGGTTTC